TAGTGTCTGTGTTAGCACGCACTGTCTTTTAGAATGAATATACTTAACCAACTAGCCCAGCTCTCCGCTATTAATACAAATTCAAGCTTTCACATTTTTCAGTGTTGTTTTTTCAGTGCGGTATGATTTGGAACATTAATTATTTCACGACACAAAGACTTATGGCAAGCTACAATTGTTGAATGCCTGTGAATGACCAAAAATGTTTCTGAAGTAGAGTGAAATCATGAAATTATGAATGTATTTATGGAAAATTAAGGCATGTGAAATAAGGAGAACAGTGGTATTCCATGGCAAGTAATAGGTGTAGTGTAAATGTTCAACAATTCTGGATAGAACATTGAATTGCCTTGTACAAAGGAGGCAGCATGATTTTGGACAAATTCTAATTAATTCATTTGGCTAAATGCTTTTGATGAAATCAGATCGATGAAGCATAATTCAGGTGGGTAATGTTGTAGATTCTAACGAAAGAAAATTTCAGTGTGGTTGACCTGGAAAGGTTAGAACAAAAGAGTTAGATGCACTAAATCGGTCTGTCTTCCCTCCGTCCCTGAAGCCAAAATAAGCGTTTGTACGTGGAAGCAGTTCAACAAATTTTGTACTCGAAATATGCTACAGCTGAAAGAAATCACGCGGTACTTAAATGTACTTCTTTCTTTTTTTTGCATGGCCCCCGGCATACATATCGTGCCACCAATCCTCTGAGGAGGCTGACACATTGATGGTGGTGGCAAATGTGTGGATGCATGCTCTGCATGATGATGATGATGGCCTAAATGCATGACTCACACCCACTGTGGGGGATTGGTCAAGAAATGAGTAATTAGATAGAGGGAATCATGTATTACTTGTAAATCTAATTAACTATAAAATGGTTAGAAAAAATTAAATTTTACTAGATGAGAGATTTGAAATCGAAACCACCTTGATTTGATTAATAATCTTTTCACAGCTGAACAGATATCCTGGTGACAATGACCTATTGAGGAGGCTCCCATGAAGAATATATTAAAAATAATAAAATTCAATCTAATTCGATTAAAAGCCACTTTATGAATATTTTTCCTCAGTAACTTGGAGCAACTACATGATAAAAAATAATGCTAAATTGTTTCATCTTTTTTATGCAATGAGCAAAGAGGGGAAGGAGCCATATCTGCTCTATGCATGTACTAGTAATTTAGTTTTGGAACTCTGCAACGTAATTTCGTAAAAATAACTTCTTCTTTGCATGTTGACCAGAACTTCCTATGCCAAGAGAACAAGAGCTAGGTGTCAATACTTGTTTAGGTGAGTGATTAATGTTTCACCAGAGTCTTGAATTGTGGCACTCCTTCGTAATCTGTCCCATATTGTGAGTGCTGTTGTGGGAATAATTGAAAGTACCAGACCACTGAGGGTGGCTTTCGCCAGAGTGTCCGCCATGTTATACATTTTTATCCTCTTGTGTCCTGGAACACAGATAAATCTGATTAAAGTTATATTAGTTGGTACCGTAAAATGAAACTTTTGTGATAAATACGAATCGCTATTGGAAGTGAGCGCCGAACACAAAAATAACGAACTGGTAACTATGGTTACACTTGAGGCTGGCGGGCTGAGCTTTCTTAATGCCATAATCACCGCCATAAATTCTGCCTAAAATACTGACAATAAATCTGAAAGTCTTAGAGAGAGGGACCAGTTGAAGGTGTCAGAGAAAATGCTAATGCCAGATTTCTCTTCAGATTGTGAGGCATCTATAGCTATGGTATTTATTATATTTATCTCTTCGAAATGCTGTTGCAAAAGGCCACTTAATAACTGTGAAGACAAATTTTTCGCATGATTTGGATATATATCGTCAAAAATAATTTTTAGATTCTGCCTTGCATTGCCAAGGGGAGGGATTTCACAGAGTTTAACATCTAATGGACCAACAAGTGATTGTACGTATCCCATCTGTGGAGTCTGAAGCTGAGGCCAATAAGATAAAAACATAACTTATAATTGCACTTTTTACCATTAAGGCTTAATTGAATAGCCTTGAACCAATTTTTAATGGCACACATATACAATTCTAAGCGAGTATATAACAAATGTATATCAGTATCTAAAGCGAAAAAGGCTATGTCGTCTGTATATACTACATATGTGTATACTCAATCATGGATAGGAATTGTGCTTAGTAGTACATTAAAAAGGAGAGGCGAGGTAACTGCTTCCAGAAGAACTCCTCAGGACTGTGAATGTATATTTGAGGAATGACCTTTTAGTGAGCAATAAAACACCCATCCATTTAAAAACTCACTAAACCATTTTACCATGTAGTTAAGGATGCCATAATACTTTAATTGATCCAATAATATTTTATGTTCTACGCTATCGTAGGCTTTTGAGACATCCAATGTTACCAGGGCTGCTATTTGCCTGCGACGGTGCGCTAGTTTGATTTGGCTTTCCAAGTCCACATGAGCATGCCAAATAGAGCATCCAGGTTTGAAACCAATTTAGAAGGGGCTTAGGGTTTTTTTTGTCTTCTACTAATTTAATTAGACGAGCATAAAAATTATTTATATTAATTTAACCAGATTATAGGCTAATACAATGGGTCTAATATTTTCCAGGGTGTAACCTGCACAGTTGTTTTTAAGAACTGGAATTATTTTAGCAGTTTTTCAACTAAAATTAATTCATGAGCATTTTATAGAATGGTTAAGTATGGTTAATAAAATATCAGGAGCCTCATTGAAAAGGATTTTAAACATTTTTGTAGTTATTCCATCACCACCTGGTGCAGAATTTAGAAGTCCTTGCATAACCATGGCCGGCTCAGTAATTGATATCTCACTGAAATAATCACTCTGTGTTTTGTATTTAGTGTAAGATAAAAGAGAGATAAAAATCTGTTTTGTAGACCACTTGCTATATCATTCAACATTTGTTTGATTTCTTGGTCAGTTAAAACTGATGAATTAATGCTTGGACTATGAAGGATTTTTCTACTACGGAGAAAATTGAAAAGCATGCTCTTATTTTTGGCTTTCGATAGAAAATTATGATGCTTAGTGTCATACGCATTTTTTACTTTAGTTACTATGTGTTTGAATATAATTTGGTAGAATTTTTTCTCACTCCAATTTTTCGGACACTGGTTATGTAGTAAGCTTTTCCAGGCTACTTTCCTTCTCTTGTAATCTTGTGAACAATCCACGTTCCACCAAGGGTTTAACGAATGATCTTTCCTTGATTGAACAGTAAATTCTGGCTTTTTTCTAGAAGTTTCTAAAAGACCACAAATTTGCTTTAATTTTTGTTCATCAGAAGCATCGGAGTGTCATGAAAGTGTTGACACCAAGCAATTCTTGAATATGCTGTAATTTATGAAGCTATTAGTTTTTTTCAGCAGCGAATGTCACTGAACAGACAATATCATAAATTACAGGAAGATGGTCACTATAGGTGGCAATATCAATGATCACCCACGAAGATAGAGAGAGGCTACTGCTAGAGAATGTTAGATCGATTGTAGAGCAGGTTAGACCTCTCACGAATGTATAAGATGCAGGGCTTTTGTAAGAGAAGATTTTATCTAATGACCAGTTCCACAGCCGGTTACCACAGAAATCTGTCTTTGAACACAAAGAAACATGATGCAAATTTAAGTTCCCAGAAATCAATATAGTATTGCACCCGCAAAGATTTAGAGCCCTTTCAAGATGGCTAGCACAGTGAACACCGTAAAAAAAAAAAAAAATGTTTATATCTCTGAAAATATGCTCGGAGGACTAGCTCTATACGGTTAAAATTTGACAGTCCAGATCCATAACTTGGAAAATGATTTTCATCTTATGATATATTTTACCCGCAATGAATGTGGTTAGACCTCCACCTATAGTAGGTCAGTCCAATCAAAAACACCTAGCTGTAAGACTTTAAATGGAAACTTTTTCCCCCTAGTTAACCAAGTTTCTTGTAGCAAAATTACATTATGTTGATTTCAGCTGAAACAATTCGCTCTTTTTTCTTCATTACTTTCATCCCGCTACTTCATAAAGCCCATTTATCTTCTGGACCACCTGACCATAACCACGCTGGTGCTTGAGCAGCAAACATGGCAGCAAATAAACCAATTCGACGCTGTACCACAGAACACCTGGTGTACAGTAACAGTGTAGACGCTGGCATAGCGTGTGAAGCTTAAACGAATGCGTAAAGATTTCGGGCTCATCTCGCGTCATCGATGCCATTTTTTTTTTCTTCTATGCTTTCGGTCTGGTCTGCGGTGTCTTGTTTGAAAGTATCAAACTGTATGGTGGTGTCCGTAAACATGCCGTAAACCATAGCGTTTCCTAAAATTAACGCTATACTATTAGGAAACTCTATGCCGTAAACTGCTAGGTGTTCTGTGACCTGGCCACGGTGATCTTTGCGCAAGCCGGTAAAAAATTTTAGTGTCGCCAAAATTTAATGCTAAAACGCTATTTTAATGTTAACACTGTTTTACTTTGGACGTTTTAATGACAATTTAATATTCTGACAAAAACATTTGTTGTTGCTCGCAGTGTGCAGTTGCCAGGCGGCGCTAGCGTTCCGCGCATGCGTTAATAGTATCGCTTTTACGTGGCATGTCGCTGCTGCGAGGATTCTGCTCGCAGAAGCGGCGAAAATACTAGTTATTCACTCTTGTTTATAGTAAGAAAGAACAAAGTTATCCGTCTGTTTAGACAAGTGAGTCAATTTTACTCTTTTCTATGACGCTTACAATTAGTTATTTAGTTCCATAGCCTTGCCGTAAGTGATAAGCGCTACTGGTTGGGCCGACTGAGCACGTTACATACGTGCGCAAAGCGAGTGGTTCGAAGGCAATCCAGCTGATTTGCCGCCCCTAATGCCCCACGGTTCATCTTCGACTGACAAAAAAAAAAATAGTGTAAAATAGCCGCAGCGAAAGGCCGTGACCGTACTTTGTGTTTTTTTGTGAGATCTGTACTGACTTTGATTACGTGTAACTTGTGGAGTAGGTGACGTGACTTGGTGGAGTGAGGAACATTTTTCCTGGTCCATCACGTTTCCAGTTTGTCGGAAGTAGGTCTCCTCGTGCTGCTTTTATCTGATGCGTAGAAACGGTGGTTGGGTACGCACGAGTGGGACATGTTCTTGCGCTAGCCAGAGTAAAATGTTGACAGATGCGGTTGGTTGCGGATGTGCGGTGGCATGCTCCGGCCGTACGCTGCAGTGACCGTCACTGTCAAGAAAATGTTGTCATATACCCAAACTAACACTGCTCTATTTCTACATTTTATGACACTGATTTTTGATAGCGATCACAACACAGCGTTCTGTGTATTATGTTTTATTTTGGTGTTTCCATCTGCTATTAGTACATGCATGTGTTAGTCCCGTTTTTTTTTTTTGTGACGTGTAATGTGTATTCACTGTTAAGCGCTTTCCGTTACTGTGTATTGCCAGCAAGCAAGCTTATTTTACCAACTGAAGTAGAAGCCATGGGCCAACTGAGGCTGAGGGTTGTTTTACTTATCAAAGTAAAAAAAAAAAAAAAAACACGACTACCAAGTCTCCCGACATTCATATCTACTAACAGCTGAGCCTGCGGTGCGTCCGTCATCGCATTTCAGTCCGCTCGGTATTTGTGTTGTCAGTCTTCATGATCTTGCATCATTCATACGGAACGTGTGCAAGCACGCTGCCTTCATTGAAGGTCCCATAATTAGCACGGTAATAACAAGCCGTCTTGATAGCACTTTCAGTGTTATTTTTCAGCTTCTTTCACCTAAAGCTTCTATTTTGGTACGATCTGTCTACAAACAGGTGTCACAAAATTGTGCTGGCTTTACCTGCCCATGTGCACAATAATCCAGTCACTCTTCTATTTAAGTTGCGTTGTGCCACCATGAAAAGCCTTAACTTTTTAGTAAAAATAGAGTAATTTCATTTGGCTCAGTTCTCAACATTTTTACCAAATGGTCGATACCAGTTTTATCAAAGTTGTGGTGTCAGTGATGAAGGGAAAACGGTGTGGAAAATTGCAAGGAAGCTTACATAAATGAGCCTCTTGTGTCCTGTGTAAGTTTTAATTATTGCATTTGTCAGGGCTGAAGGTAGTGTGAAATAGCACAGGCAACTACTCATCGTTTGAGTAGCCACCCTTTAAAACTCTTATCTATTCTGACGTAAACAACTTGATTTGTGTTGCTGTATTCAAACTAATGGAAATGCAGGGAAGTACCCTTTCCTTTCAATTTTGCTGTATAGAAAATGGGAAGTGAAGGAGTGAACGAATAAATAGACATGAAGTCGTATGAAGATTGTGAAATGAAACCTGTTGTCACTATAACCTCCTCGGTCCCTGGTTACCTAATTGGGTACCGTTGTTTTAAAGGCTACAGATACCCACAGTTCGATATCCGCGTGTCCAAATTTGTCTTGGCACAGTAAGGGTGAGTTGCTTTCTCGAAGCCCTGAGAAGTGGCGCTGCATGTCTTGTCATATTCACAAAACGAGCGAACGAAAACGACTGAGTACTGCAGGAGCGCTCGGATGTTTATTGCACGAGCACTTGGCTGCATCCTCGTCATAAGTGAAAGCTTTTTTTCCTTATTTGTAGCATGAACAACATCGTCTATAGTGTATTCCTTTAACTGTGGATGCCTTGTAGATCATATTGAAAGTCATTTGGGTATGATATTTTTGTTGCACTCAATCTTAGAGACTTCAAAATATGAGGAATATGCAAATGGGTAACAGCATATTTTGAGACAATCGTTAAATTTTTTTTTTAATTCATAATTTTTCTCCGTGTGTTTTTAAGGGCAGGGAATCAAATAATACAGCTTTGCAAAAACTTTTTTTTATTGGTGCATTCTTGGGACTGTGGAGTATCGATAATGTATGGGACCAAGTTTTCAGAGTTAATTATGGGTGTTGTTTATAAGCCACGCCACAGAAAAAAAGTGTTACTTTGAATATTTTTCACCTCAAAAAGAGTTTGTTATACATTGTGCTTTTATTGTACAAAATATTGTCTTGTTCTGCTTGTGTGTTTTGCTGTACAGTGCACAGCTGAGTAGCAGGTACTGCTGGGCTAGTTGGTTACTCGAGGTATGAGAACCATAGCACACGTTCAAGAGCTGAGGACAGCACTTTTTCACACAACACTTGTGTCTAACTGCAACTATGGTTTTATTGCTGTGCAACTCATATTTATAGGTGCTGCCTGTGACAAGGAGCATGTGCATGCAAAAAGGCAGGAATAACAAAGATAGGGGAGCCATGAGAGATATCACATGAATGTGATACCTTTCAAACATATAGAAATGCTCTGAATGAAAACCTGACCACTCTACAAGGAATATAACTGATCATTTTGCCTAATAAGGGGACCCTTAAGCTTTGCCTTTAAGGTTGGACGTGACAGCAATATCCTGTCCTTAGTGCGTTCTTCAACTACTTTGTGCATACTCTTTATTGTATGATGTTACTCGAGAACTTTAAATTGTGGATTACTATGATTATTGATAAAGTTGGACGTGGCTTGCGTCAGTGAAGCTTTTGAATGTGGCTGCATACTCTGTGATGGGTAGCAATTATGCGTGTGAAATATTTTTGAACTTGCTATGCACCCAATACGTTGTCTTAAGGGCATAGTAATGTGTGCCTTTTGTAATGGGTGTCCGGCTTTATACTGTGAAGTCGTTATGATAATCACATGTTCTGACACTAAAAGGCAATGTACTCTTGTATCATGCAATATTACTGCGATATTACATTTATTGTGAAGCCTGTATTCAGGACGCAATCGTGTGTAAAGCATGAAAGTTATTTTCAGTGCATTTCCAAGCAGAGAAAGTTATTTTCACTGCATTTTCAAGCAGATGCATGGCTGTGTGGTAGAATGCTTGCTTGCCATGCAAGCGGCCTGGTTTTTGATCGTCACTCAGACCCGGAAATTGTTATTATTTGTTTTATTTACATCTTTCACGATTTTTGTGATTGCAGACAAAATGATGATTTTTCACTCCCAACCAGCAACACTGTCGCCAAAATTTCTGTGAAACTAGGTTTTTAACGCTATCATGGTAATACTAAGTTGCACGGCAGGAAAATAATTGTAGCAGTTCAGCACCAGTGTTGTGTCTAAATGTGTTGTCCTTGTTCTGTTCTGTTTTGCTCTGGAGAGGTTGAGGTTCATGTGGCCTTGTTTCTTGTCTCAGAATTGGCTCTGTACTTCTTGTATAGCTGAAATCTTTAAATGCATGAGTCAGCGGGAACCAGAAAGGAAGATTATTTGTCTGTGAGCTTCATTTAGACATTAACTGTTGATTTTCTTTCCTTTTGTGTCCTTTAGCTGTGATGCTGCTCATTCACACCTCACGAACAACCGAAACACTCACATCTACCCCTGCAAATATTTAATGCTTTCATTATTCTGCTTATGCCATTTTTGATTATCAACTTTTTATTATTGCATTTGTTACTCCATTTATTACTTGGTTTATGAAGATAATCACAGGAGGGCTGTTTGTTAGAGCTGCAGTTAAATGGCCCCTCACCAAGTCCCATTGCAAATTTTTTCATATAATGGAAGGTACAATAACCTGCCATCTAGGTAGGAGCATTTTGCCAAAGTAATTTCTGAGATTGGTTCATTATTGTCCGACATAGACGAAATTGAACTATTCCATTGCCACGCCTCTAGGAGGCGACCTTCACTGCCAGAGCAGACTCCTTTTTCATTGACTAACATCTACAAGCTGCATACCTGCGCTGCATTCTCCTGATAGCCAGCTGTCGTGTTCATGGGATGAATCAGACCTCTTTTTTTTTTCTTGTTCTCTTTTTCATATTGCTTGACAGTGCATTTCTTGTAGCGGAATTGCAAACTTTGCATTGAAGTCACATGGTATGGTGCTTGATGTTCCAGGATGTTATATAAGGAATGCATGCATGAGACTTTCTTTTGAAGCACAGTTCTCATGCCATGCAAATGTTCCATGCTTTGCCAAGCACAATCACCACAAAGCAATCTGAGTGCTACGCTTGTTTGCAAAACCTGAACCTGATTATCGGAATAAAAAATGAAACATTACACAGGTGATAAACTAAAAGGGAAGATGATATGTTAATTGTTCAGCACATTGTTGTCACCTGAATGTGGTGAAATGGATCTTACATTCTTCTTCACTTCCATTTTCCTTTTTGTATTTAGCATGAATCCACCACAGATAGGAGGAGGAGCAGTGTATGGAGGGCAGCCCTTTGGTGAGCCCCACATGCAGCAGCCTGGGCCGCCTGCTTTTCCCCAGGGACCACCGGCACCTTTCATGGCCCCACCTACTAAGGCATACAATGGCGTGGATGGTTATGCAGCTGGTGCAGCTAGTGTTGCCGGTGAGTGCTTCAAAGGAGGCGACAGTCAGCAATTTGGTCATCTGGTTGCTTTACTTTGCCCCTGCTGTGTATACTTATTTTTTAAGTGAGCTCGGTCTGCTGCATTTCATTTTACACAATGGAAGTTGTAAGGTGCCGTCTGGGAAGCATTTTACGGATAGAATTTTTAGATTAGATCTTCATTGAAGGGGTTTGAAGAAATTGAGCTTTCCTGTTGCCATGCTACCAAAAAGCAAGGAAAGCCACTGTTAAGAGAAATGCTCTCCCGGCTAGCAACCACAAGTAGTGTACCTTTTTAGAATTCCCCCATGTGCTGGAGCTGCCAGAGGGTGTATCTGTGTTTGCGCTGCATTAGCTGGTGAAGTGGCATCCTAAAGCCATCTCAGTAGTGCACGTGACTTTGGCTATGGCTTAAAGCACATTTTTCTTTTTAAAATTGCTATCATATGCAAGATATGGGACCATTCCATACTAAGTGGACACACTCACCACTGCCTGACCTACGCACAGCAAATGTCTGCAGTGCCCAAACCCAGTGAAGGACACTTTGAAAGGACACAAATTAAAAGCACTTACTCCGATATTTTGAAACAAGCGTCTGCTCAAAGTTGGTCTTTTTCTCAACAGGGTTGAGCAAAATGCCAGCACTCAACCATTTCTGAAAATAATGTCACATTTCGCAGTAAGTGCTGTCGAATAGCGCTCTTACAATACAGTGACCCCTTCTGCCGAGGGGCAGTGCTGCCATCGACATTATTGTTTTAAGGTGAAGTGTGTAGTGAAGGGACCCTCTAGAATAATGAGGCAGATAACGTTGAATTAATCAAGTATTCTTTAAGAGACATTTTTATTGATATATTGCCTTAATGAATTCATTATAAAAGAAATTGAAGATGAAAGCTGAATTTTCTTTATATTTCAAATTGGAGCCCCAGTGTTTATACATGTCTAACTACTTCAGAATTGATTTTATTTTTTCATTTTCAAGCTGCCATTGGCTTAAGGTTCTTAGAACTTGCCCCATACAATCATTGGCTCCTTCAAAAATACAATGTATTTATTACTTACAAATTAACAATAGACTAGGCTCAAGTGGACTTTGAAAAAATTTGTGGTGTAGTGATAAGCAAGTGGACAACAATTAGCTGGCTTAAAATAACTTCTCGTTGGGCGAGTTGGTGTACATTCATTATGTGTCACTTGTCCTCTTCTTGCACCATTTCTGGTAGAAAGATTGCACCATTTCTGGTGTATTGTAGAAAGACCATTTACTAATACAGGGGAAACGAACATCTTACTTATTGATTCTTATTGAGTGCACGTGCCAGTGCATTATGAACTAAATACTTCAAAAGCCCCTCACCATGCCCCATTGCAAATGTTGTTATGCACTGTAATCTTCAAGGTGCTGTCCAAGGACCTTTCAGCTGAAAGAATTTTTATCGGTTGGGTTTTGATGAAACTCAAGTGCCGATTTGCCAGGAGCTCAGCTTCATTGCCGATGCGGGCACTGTCCTCTTCTGGCTTGACTAATAGTTGCAAGTAGTGTTCCATCCCTGCTTTCTCCCAAAATGGAGGCGAAATGGTGGAGTCCCATGTACTGTGCGATGTCGGTGCACATTTAAGAACACCAGATGGTCAATATTTCTGGAGTCCTACACTATGGTATTTCTTATAATTATATCGTGGTTTTGGGACGTAAACGCCCACATATTATTATTTCATGTCCAAGAGCCGAGAAACCACGCAACATTCATGTTAAAGTTGCCATTTTCTTTTTTTGTTACCTATTTCACTTCATGATTCTTTTCAAGTGGTCGCCTCGTGCGTTCCACACTGAACGATTAAACCAGGTCATATGGCATGATCAGTAACATTACAAGCAGCTTGGGGAATGTGTGCATCTTACTTTCATAGTCACTTCAGACGCTTTTCCTCAATTGGGAGGGCACATGTGTCTTTCACTTTGAAATTTATGCAGTTTCTACATTGGACTGAGTTTTGCAATGGCCAAATGTGGAAGGGTCCCTTCAAGCAACTTCTTTTTAAAGCAAGTTGTTTACACATGGAACTAAACTGTGTATCAAAATGACCTTGTAACATACTAGTCTCTGCTAAAAGGGCATTACATTGTGCTGATGATAAATAATATTGATGAGCCCCTGAGCTATGTACTGATAGATCGGCATGCACAATATCACATGGGACTTCTTTTAAACCTTGAAGGCTCTGTACCTTTGAAAATGTGTAAGCCAAGCTCTTCAGAGTATATTTTGAAGTTAATATGTAAGTTTTTTTGTTCATCGAATAGTATATTTCCTTCCATTGTCAGTATTATTCAACCATCTGCAATACAGCCGAAACCCGCAATAACGAAATCGCCGGGAAAACTGAAAAATTTGGTTTTCGCGAGAATTTCGTTGCCGCAAGTATGAGACATAAAAACAGTGATACAGCCAGCAGAACGAAAATTTATTGCCAGAAGTCGGTCAACTTACTTTGCCGACCCTTGCCATGCAATAACTTCAAAGCTCTCCCTTCGCACTGGAAAAAGGGGTCCATTGCTACATCGTCGTCATGTGTGCCGAAGAAGGAGTGAAGGGTGTCCAGCGCATCCAAAACAACCCGCGGGTTGGGTTTCTCCGTGTGCGTCTCTTCTTGGTCCTCGGTGTCGTCAGCTTTGCGCACGCTTTCGATAACGGCCTCGTCGGTCATTTCCTCGTACACAGCTACGTCGTCATCGGTGCGAACGAACGCATCAACGGTGAGTTCATCTCGAATGTCAATGTCGATGGCTCGAAGTTCCCCCAGGTGTTGGTCAAGATAGAGGCACTGCACTGCCACCACTCTCGCCGTCAAGTGCGCCTTCGTCCAAATCTTCGTCTGGTGAGGCCGAAGCGCAATCCGTGTGTGATGCTTGCGCAGTGGTGGTGAAACCCACATGCTTGAAGCAGTTCTCAATCAGCGACGGGGATGTTGCAACCCATGCGGCGGGCACCATCGGCGGCCAGGCATGTTGCCGGACACAGAACCCCATTGCCGTTTTAAGTAAACAGAAATGGTGGTACCCACGCTAGCACGGCAAAAGGAGACATTTACAAATTCTGAGTGCGCATAACACGCATACGAGCATATTTTCGACAGTTAACCTTTGGCGGGAGGGTAAAATAAGGCCCGCGCCGTGGTAGGAAATTCGTTAATACGGGAGCGCTGTCCAAAAACAATAAGTTGCCGCGAGATACGTAATGCATGGGCTTCTATGAACGTTCGCCGGGGATCCAGAAATATTTAGTCGTCGCAGGGATTTCGTACTCGCGGGGTTTTGACTGTGTATATATATATAGCTTGCGGCGAAAATTACTCGTAATCATGGAAAGTTGAGCGCCAGTATCAACAGGAGCAGTCACATGCATGCCGTCTACTTGAACGTCTACAAGGTTCCGTTTCGTCTGTATGGTCAAGAGAGGATGTTTTGTCAGTCCGAGCGATGCAGCGCCACCTCTGGGGCTGCAACATTTATAGTTTTCTGTGGAGGAACCTCGTAGTAACGCTGGCAAAGATGGTGGTGGGGCAGCGGAGAACTAGACTGGAGACGTTGGGGAGATGGAGAGTGGGAGTAGGGGTGTTCAGTAGCAGGTTCCTGGGCAACGTGGTCGGGGCTGGACTCATGGCGATAGGTGGAACATGCATGGAAGGTACGAGGGGAAGCTTGTGCAGGAGGACCCCAGCGACTTTTGCATTGGCGACAAATGTGCCCTATTGGCACATATTGGACAAATGTGGCAGAGCAGGAGGTCGGGCGATTGGAGAGGATGTAGGCGAGTCTTGAGTGGTCATGTTGAAAGCTGTGAGCAAGTGCCCTTTCAGAGTTCCGTCGTGAAGATGGGGATCGCACAACTCCACCAAATATGTTACGAGAAGGAGACCGCCTCGGAAGAGTAGACACAGATATATTTACACAGCCGGTCAAGCGAGCAGCGCCAGCCACGCAGATTCGCTCGCACCAGTCTATCTTCTTTATCTTCATCTCCATGCCACTGGCATATATATATATTATATATATATATATATATATATATATATATATAATTTTTTTCGACACGAAGCAATACTCACTCTAGAACAGTGGTGGTCTGACACTCAATTCAGCTGGCAGGCCACAGTGACACAATTTACTCTCTCGGAAGGGTCAGGACAGAGAAGAAGCTAAAAGCAAAGGGGTGGTGAGGTGGGGGTGCTTGGTTTGTACAAATTGTCAGCAAATGTTACCATTTGAAAGAAAACCTTTCCCTTGTGTCATATGCATGTCATTTCTTAATAAAGGAGATGTAGTGCAAACGTTCCAACAATATGCCGATACCTATCCGCCAAAATGACTAAAATCTGAACAGCGATTCGGAAATATGGTTTTCGTTTCTCAGTTATGTTTCAACACAGGGTGACCACATGAAGTGCCTCATGAAAACAATCTTATAGACCAGTGGTTCTCAGCCACGGATCTGTCAGGCACCCCTTGTGGACTGGTGGAAGTAATGGGGGACCCCTTGTAGCGTAGGGTAGCAAGGGGGGATGGGTATATAGGTAAATTAACACAACTGGAGTGGGAAACAGGTGCCTTTTAATGCTACCAAAAACATCAAACGTGCCACATCACTTCATTTTGGACAGTAACATCAATACATGGCACAATCGTGCTTTAACAGAGTTGCATATGTAGACATTTTTTTTAATGTAAAAAAAAAAGCGGGTGAGGGTTTCCCGGGTCAAGGATCCACGGACCCCCATTTGAGAACCACTGTTATAGACCATGGTCATGCCTGTGTGGCTGCAGAAAATTTTTAAAATGTGAGACGTAGACAGTCATGTGCAGGGCGCGGGCTGCAAGCGAGAGGTGTGTCGGCCGCATGTTTGAGACCCCTGCTCTAGAGCACTCACATTTTCCTTTCTTTGTTGCTTTTGACAAAATGTAGCCTCTGTCTTTGTTTTATAGTATAAAAAATTTAAGCATCATCAAAATAACAGTGTAAACAGAACCTTAAGATGGAGTACTGTACTGTGGTTCTTTTGTTCATCCCTTGTTATCTGGTTTGATTTTTTGCTGATTAAAAAGAAGCTGGTAATCTGAAAATTACTTGTGTCAGAATATTTTTCTGTGTGAAATACCTCATATATACATGAAGTTCTTGGTGCTGCAAAGAGCTAAAAACTTTTTTTTTTTTTGATATTGTGCTGTGTATTTCGTATTCAATATCTTAGCCTGATATATATTGATTATGAGGGTATTGTTTATGCAGGCGTAGTAAGAACATTAGCTAGGTGTCTTTTAGTAGTAGTGCTGTCTTGTCAAAACCATTGTCGAAATAACAAGTAGTGACTTTCCCATTCTTTTTCTGTTAAAATGAAGATTAAGTGGTATAGACGCAGAGCTTTCTTTGGTTTGTGGTGCAAAGGACAAGACAGAGAACAAGAGCCAACCAAAAGGCACCTCATGTTTTTTGCTCGTGGTCGTTGTCAGAGCTTGTACACAGCAGAGCTATATGTATTGTTGGAGGAGTTAATGTTGAGGCAGCTTACTTTTAGCAACATTGTGATGTGGATCTAAGTTATGGATTGGGCATATGTTGATCTTTACTGCAGGTGGCCTACCAGTGGGGGTCCCTCCCCCTAAAATGGGAATGGGAGCCCCACCGGGTGTTTACTCAGGGCCTCCACAACCTCAGCAGCCGCCTCCTCACATGCATCAACCACAGCCATTGCCACCACAGCACTCACAGCAGCAGCTGCCACCGCCTTTGCATCAGCATGCGCCACACATGCACCAACAGCAACCTCAACTACAGCAGCCACAGTTTCAGCAGCAACAGCCACAACAGCAGCCAGGTGCACCACCCAAGGGCATGCCTTTTCAGCAGCCAGGTCAGTTTGCACCAAGACAAATGGGTTCTCAGGAGCCTCCTGGAGTTCAGAGAGCACCCATGCAAGCGCCGCCCATGCAAGCACCGCCCATGCAAGGGCCACCCATGCAAGTGCCACCCATGCAACCACCACATATGCAACCACCGCATATGCAAGGCCCACCACCTGTTGCTGGCCAGAGGCTCCCTATGACTGCCACACCGGAACAGGTAAAACTTTTGTTCCACTGCTCTGGTCTACTAGCTACATTTAGCTACAATCCCTTAGAAGTCGCCTCTCTGTTAAACAACCTCATGGCCTGAAATGGGTGATGAAGCAATAACTGTGCACTTGATGATGTCAACATGCTGCTGCAAGAATTTTACGAATAAGTGCTACAGTAAGGAAGTTCACGAGTGTAGAACAGCCCGCTTCGGCTGGTTTTGGGTTCTTTCTTGACCTTCCCATCTATCTTGGCAGCTAAGAGGGGCAGGCGTAGCCAGCTGTTGTGATGATGCACACTTCAGTAACGTAGCATGGAATTGGCAAATATGTCATCAGCACACTTAGCCAAGGGCCAAGCAATGCTGCCTTCATGGGTCGCTCATGTCTGAGTGGCGCTAAGGTCACCCTAGCGGTGCTGTGCAGAAGTGTGACAAATGCATAGCCAAAACTGTATCGCAATGGGGCCAAGGTGCCAGAGGACCACTCAATAAAGGTGGTGTTACATAATGTTGCCCATGGGCAAGATTACATCACTTGGTCACAAGGAGGAATGAGCAGGAGCTGGAAAGGGACGCAGAAATTGCTTTTCAAAATGTAGCTTTTGTATGGTGCACCGCGCTGTGGTAATCATGAAGTGTGATCATTGTGGCTGTCTGCATGAATCGGCGAGCTTGTTTTGGAGATATAAAAAAAAAAAAAGTTGGGGAGCCTGTTTAGTGTACCATTTTTATGTGACCCGTGCAAAAAGTATGCCATGTGCAGGGTGTCTTTGAATGGGGAAAAAGAGGCCATCTAATTGAAACCTGTTGCAATGGTCTCATGGTAAAAACATTCGTTCATGCACCCGTAATATGGTATTGCCAAAAAGAGAGACCATTTAGCACTGAACAGAACAAAAGAAAAAAAAAGTTTCCCTTCTTTTATAACAAAACAAAGCAAACAATTGAAAGGACCTATTTTACAGTTTTTTTCAATGCGGTTGTTCTTTGGCTCTCTACCACTTCACTGTGTTTACTGTCGACCTTTAACATTATTTGAAATACCTCCAATGTACAACTTTGTTGACATGATTACTTTTTTTTTACATTCAAAGTAGTTTCACACTTGAGCTGTGTTTTTAATAGGCCGTTCGAAAAGTGCTGTAATCACTTTAGCATTCTTAGACATGTCAAAAGACAAGTACTAAGGTCTTTTGAGTATGGCATCATGCGATCACAGGTATTCCTTGAACAAATTTCGTTCTATGACCATTAGCGCTCACTTTGATAACGCCTATGTGATGAAAAGTGCTTGCTACCGCTTACTTCACGGCATATACAAAACTTGGTCTTACCCAGCTTCCAGTGCCAGCCATATAAAAAAAACATTATCGATGAAGTCATCAGCTTCTAGGCCTTTCGACTCACCGCCAATTGCTTAGTGAGGTCACCTGCACGGACAGCCATGTAGTCACAGCCGAGCCAGAAGAGAGGATGTGTGCTCCCCTTTGTCACTCTGCACATAATCATGTGACCTTTGATCATGTGACTCCTTTTAAACAAAACCTGAAGGGACCAAGAAAAAGTGTTTCCTTTAAGAGGAGTTTCGTTTACTGAGAGATAAATAGGTGTACAATATTCAAGTAGAAAACCAAACATATTAGTGCCAGTTGTTACATTTAAGTAGCAATTTCATTTAAGAGAGTTTCGTTTGACGGGAGTCTACAGTATATATACTACTGTTTATATATATGTAGTTTTTTTTTTCTCCATATATCATGCTTGCAGTTGAAACTGTCTGACCATTCTTTTTCTAGTGATAGATGGGATTATTTAAGTATATTGCTCTTTGTCCCAGATATTTCTGTCAGGAAACATATTCACGTCTGATGTAGAAACATTATACCCTCACTGCTTGGTAGAAAACCTGGTCTCTAGCTTGAAAGCTAGACAGGTCTTCTTGTGTAGTGCTTACAATTTTTTGGTGCAGGAAACCCTGCCTTTATTTTTACTTTCTCACTTGTTTTCTTCAAGTTGGAAGATAAAGGATGACAGAAATTTTATCGGTGTTTCTTTTCTTTCTGCAGCTGAGCAACCAGATGAGCAACTTGCAGTTGAACCAAAGGCCACCACAACCTATGGGACAAAGGCAGCCTATGGCCCAGCAGCCACCATATCCTTACCCCCCTCCTCAGGGTGGTGCACCTCCACCTCCACAGTTCTATGGTCCTGGAGGTGTCCCACCTCAGGTCAGGTTTATCTCAGTTGTGTTACTACACTGTGCATTATTGCCACTAGAAGGTGTGCCGGTGTACTTGCTTCATGCAAAGGAAGTGCTTTACTTTGTGCAGAGGAAGTTGTCCTAAAGGGCCCTAAACTGTTCAAGGGCTCTGCAACACTTTTCCATGTAATCATCCTCATTGTTGGAGCATATTGCCTCACGAATTGATCGGAGCTCAAATTTTCATAATCTGTCAAACTCGAACAAAGTTCGAGGAATTGGTCGCATGGTTTTTAATTTATGGAAGCTACACAAGGGAAGGGGGATTCTTGATGACAAAGGGGCAAAAAGCTACTACAGTGTGTGTCATGACCTTGCCCACTTTGTCCTTTTTTCTTTGATTGTGTCAGCTGACTCACTGTGTGATTATGAGTGTGATAGTGTGGCTACTGTGCAATTCTAACGCACTTTAGAACGCAGCATTAGCGCATGGCTTCACCCTGTGGTGGCTGCACTAACTATACAGCACAAAAATGCTTAACTGCATCATAAGGAAAATTTTGCTCTTGAATTATCGCACGGAACCATCTTTTGCAGATGTTGATAAGGTGTTGATACTGCTTGTTCTACTCAAGTGACCAGAAACATGTTATAGACATGATTGGGATTACAGGATGTCTTCCATCTCAAAAAGCCAGCTTCCCCTACCACTTGTTGCAAGGAGTTGGAGCACATGAGTTGGCCTCTGTATCAATACAAAAAGGTCACGAAAGTGAGGGGGGGGGCACTTATAGAGTAAAGAATAAGGTGAGACAAAGCAAAGCAGAACACTGTGGACCCACCCAACCAATGTAGGACTCAGTTATCTCCCTGTCCCTCACTTTTCTTTTTCTTGAGATTTGTTGTAAATAACAATCTTAGTTACAAGAGTGTAATTTTTGTGGCCCTTAAATATTTTGATAGGTGGGTTCAGCTAGACAATCTCACAGTAAAATCAGTGTATAGGTTATAAAAAATATATCTTATCATAGCAGTTTTACCTAATGCTTTGGGGAAAGTGGGTATATCTTTACTAGGGACAACTTAAATAGCTACAAATTCTGTTGCTGGTCGGTGGTTCCATTCTTTAAATGTGTGAAGAAAAGTGTCCGTATTACAGAATTAAATTTTGAGGTAATCAATACAGTCAGTGCAGGATCATGAACAAAACAGGTGTCAACCCTAGATCTTTAGGAAGCAATTATGCTCTTCCTAATGGTAATTAGTTGTGCTTTTGTTTCTATTGCTTTTTGTTTTCTTTTTGTGGATGTAGCCATGGTAGTCTTCATTTTTACCTTGCTGTGAGCTATGAACTGTGCAAGAACGCTAAGCAGTGTTGGCTGTAATGCGTTACAAGTAATGTCATTTCCGGTAACATGTTACTCGTCGAGAGTTTTGAAACTGTATCAAGGAACGTACTTACGTTATCATTTTTCGGTAACGTGTGGTGTCACATTACTCGTTAATTTTTCATCTTGTAGGTGCCATTCTCCCAGAGCTCGTGCTCGCAAATTCTTTTGTCACAGCATTGGATAGCTGCTGACCCTTCAGCATGGACAAAGAAAGCAGGGGTAGAATCGCTTTTGTTTGTGGAAATTGTGGATGGAAGTATTATAAAACGTGCCGACTTCATTTGGGGAGTTTAGGGCCATCGCTACACTAAGCTTGAAGAAAGCCGGTCAATCCTCCATTAGAAAGTGTACAGACGTGCTTTTGGAAGGGGATTGTAGGGGGCCGATAGCTGGCACCTGTGCCTTTCCGTGCCCAAAAGACAGACTGCCTGAAGCGAAAGTGTATGGGCTGGTTTACTCCATACCACGTGCTCACTGTGATGCTTCGTTTATGGGGAAAGCAAAGAACTTCTTCGAGAGCCTGGTTTGCCACCCTAGCCTGGAGTAACATAAAATGACGTCCACCAGTTTGAGTGTCAAAGGAGTACACTCGCTGAGCACATTGTTGTGAAAGACCACTGCTTTGAACTTGAGAAGTTCCACGTCTTAGACTTTAAGGCCAATTACTATAAGTGACCTTTTGTGGAATACTGGCCCTTCCAGGGGAGAGCCGGTATGTTTAACCAGTCTACAGGTGCGCATTGAAAATCTGCCCGGCATGGACTACAGTGAAATCTCGTTAAACCGTAGTTGGCCGGAGCTCGGAAAAAGTACGTACTAAACGGTAGTACTGCTTAACCAAAATAGTGTCAGGTCACTCATTTACCTGTCAAAAAAAGAAACCTTCAGGGAGTGCGATGAAACAACAAAAAACGTGCAGTAATTTATTAACTTCGCATGACAAAGTCTGTAATCTTCATTCGACGACGTGGCGGCCTAGCAGCAACGACAGCGGCCTCAAACTCACTTATGCTGTGAGCCAGCTTTTCCGCCAGCCCCCTCTTTTGGCAAATACCTGCATGACGCTGACGCAATGTGTAGCTTCGGCCACTGTCGGACATGGATCACCCGTGTTGTCGCTTTCCATGTCGTCCTCATCACTATCATTTGGCGACATTTCGACAACCGAGGCAACAGTGGCTTCGTCGGACATGTCTGGAGATGTCTGCACATCGCTGTCTGCGTCTCTGAAGTCGGGGAAGGAAATGCCTTCCGTAACGCCCTCCCGCTCCAGCACTTCAGCTAGCAGAGCTTTGCAAGCTTCGTCTACAATGTCCAAAGTCTGGTCGATGGTGTCACTGGCGTCATCTGCGTCGCCCGCACACACACTGAAGCCAGCATGCTTGAAGCAATCTTGAACTGTCGTTGCTTCAACCTGCCGCCACGAGTATTCGAGCAGGTGAATCGCGCCAATCAGGTTGATGGAGAATAATTTGCCACATTCAATGGCGAGAAGAAATCTGTGCAGCAGATTCTTCTTGTAGAGCTGTTTTACAGCTTGAATGATGCCTTGGTCCAAGGGCTGGGCAATCGCTGTTGTGTTGGGGGGCAGAAACGCCAGCTTCACAGCCGTCAGGTTGTCTAGGGCGACGTACGCCGAAGCATTGTCTAAAATAATAAGAACTCTTCTGTTCTTAGCCGCAAAGCGACGATCGATGAGGCGCACGTACTCCTCAAAGAGTTTTGCCGTCATCCATGCTTTGGTGTTGCTGGGATATATGACCCCTGATGGCAACTGGGTGCCTTTGAAACATCTAGGCTTTGCCGACTTTCCAATCTCGAGGAGCGGAGTTTTGTCGGTTCCAGTCATGTTTACGCAAAACGCCACTGATATTCTGTCTTTTGCATGCTTGCCGCCGGTGCAGGTCTCGCCTTTGAACACGAGCGTTTCGTCTGGTAGCAGCTTAAAGAATAGTGCCAATTCATCCATATTAAAGATGTCATTAGGTGCGTAGTCTTCCAAGATGTTTTTCAGCTGACCATTTTGCCACTGCTTCGCCCCATCTACGTCAGCAGCAGCACCTTCTCCCGAAACAGTCCTCGTGGTAATGCCGTGCCTCGCCTTAAATCTGGCCAGCCAGCCATTGCTGCACACGAAGTTGTCATGGTTGAGCTGCGAGACAAAAACCAGGGCCTTCTCCACGAGCAGGGGTCCGCTGATAGGCAGATTTTTTGACCGTGCAGCTTTTAGCCACTTCACCAGCGCCTCCTCTACATCCGAAAATGCCGAACCGCATAGCCGGCACCTTTTTACAGTTGCAGCAGCACTGCCAAGTAACTTCTCTTTGGAATTCCAAATTCCACACACCGTGGTTAACGGCAGGTCCTTTTCGCGTGCCAGCGCAGATTTTTTTCGTGCCACTTTCAATAGCACGAATTATGTCCAATTTCTCCTCTATTTTCAGCACTCGATGCTTTTGTCCCTGCTTCGGAATGACGCAAGTACGAAGCAGCACAAGCACACATACACAACACGTGAAAAATGACGCGAGAGCTGTACGGCACGGATCAACCAGAGAACACCTATGCACGGCGCCAAAGGAACAAAGAAAGCAAAGCAAGCGCATACTGTGTTTGTGCAAAGCACCATCGCGTGGACAACACCAGAATCCTAGCCGGCCGAGTGCTTCTTGTTGCAGAAAAATTCAAGAGATGGCGCTCACCAGCGCAGCCGCCATCATCATCAACACAAACAAGCGAGGCGTGTTTCGATCTCTGGGGCTTGCTGTTCTGTGGGGACGCCTAGTGGGGGACGACATGCCGCGGCGAGTGCGCAACGAAAATTGGAAAAACTACTTATTAACCTATATATACACGATAAGCTGGTACGGCTTATGCGTATACAAAATGCATTATGTTCAATGGCCGCCGAGTCGGAGATTTGACTTCACTACTTTTAAAACGAAACTACTGTTTACGCGGGTACGGTTTAACGAGGTTTCACTGTACTATAAGTGTGACCCCATGGAAGGAACTTGGTGATAAGAATGCAAGTGAGGCGCGAAACATCGACTTTTTTCTTGTAAAGCACCAAAAAAAAAAAAATTGTTTTTTTTTTTCTCTCGCAACCTCGGTTGGCATCCCTCTTGTTTCAACTAAAGCCCATTAATATTGCTGTCACACGAACACTACGGCTAACCACAGGTTCAGGTATCTACATAGTAGACATAACCGCAGCTAGTCTCTTTAACTGTGGGTATTGCAGCCCCGCCGCGGTGGTCTAGTGGCTAAGGTACTCGGCTGCTGACCCGCAGGTCGCGGGTTCAAATCCCGGCTGCGGGGGCTGCATTTCCGATGGAGGCGGAAATGTTGTAGGCCCGTGCGCTCAGATTTGGGTGCACGTTAAAGAACCCCAGGTGGTCGAAATTTCCGGAGCCCTCCACTACGGCGTCTCTCATAATCATATGGTGGTTTTGGGACGTTAAACCCCACATCAATCTGTGGGTATTGCAAGTGGGTGATTTCAGGAGAGATCAACAGGACATGTTAGATTTGATTGAGCATTTCATATTTTGTGCAAATATCACCCAGTAGCTCAAAAAGGAACTCGTTTTTGTTCTTGCTGCATAATTTACAAAGTGAAAAACGTTTAACATTTTCAACACGAAGGGACTAATTTTATCATCTGTCATTCTTAAAAGTTCATGATAATGTAACACACAGTTATTACCATTACAAAGACATCTTGTGCAAAAGATATATGCACAACAATGAGTGAAGGAACATTGTTTAAAACTTGTAGAGTGAAAGACACTATTTCTCAAAAGTGCCTAGATATGCGACACTTATGTTAGTTGCTACATAATAGTTGCTACAAAGTTGATGACACTTATCAACTTTGTTTTGAGAACAAGCTTTGCTTCCTTTTCTTTACAATGGCAGCTAAGTTTTTTTTACTGAACTCCCGAGCCAGCGAGGCTGATGTTTAACACCCTCACATAAACGCTGGCAAATTTTTGCGGTACATATAGAGGTTAAAGTGAATAAAAAATTTTTTTGCACAGATATTTTTTTCTGTGACTAGGCCGTAAAGCATTTCTTTACTCCTACAAAAAAACGCCCCGCCGCGGTGGTCTAGTGGCTAAGGTACTCGGCTGCTGACCCGCAGGTCGCGGGATCGAATCCCGGCTGTGGCGGCTGCATTTCCGATGGAGGCGGAAATGTTGTAGGCCTGTGTGCTCAGATTTGGGTGCACGTTAAAGAACACCAGGTGGTCGAAATTTCCGGAGCCCTCCACTACGGCGTCTCTCATAATCATATCGTGGATTTGGGACGTTAAACCCCAAAAAATCAAATTACTCCTACAAAATTGGCGCATATAGTTTGATAGTACTAGCACGCTCCAGAATGGGACGTTTCCACAGAGGTAGTCTGCGCATGCATGGCATCATCGATGGGGCACTTGCCGGGATTTTTGGTGGCCAAAATGCAACGACAGGTGCGAACCAAGGGACATATGATGTCACAAACATGCAAATAACCTCCCCTCCCTCCTTCCAAAAAAAAAAAAAAAAGCTGCCTGCACAGGCCTCCACGATTGCCTACTGGTGCGGGGCGGGCTATTTCGAAGGCCAAAGGCCACTAGTTTTGATTTGACAATCATCGAGGTGCCGTTGAAACCCATAAAAGGCTGATCACTGTAAATTTCTTGAGAGTTCAGCAATGCTTTTTTTTGCGGATAGCATGGATGATTAAATCTCGTATTGTGTGTAATGTCGCATTGAGAAAAATGGTTTCACCATGCCACAGAGCTGGAAGCCATTGCTTGTAACTTTATGCCACTGTAACATTGCTTAAGTCTGGTACATTAGTGCAAATGATTCTCATTCCTTAAAACTGTGGGTGTGCATTTCATATTCTTAGTGGCTCTTCCTCTGCCATCTTGAATTTTGCTCTATGACCGAGCAAGGGGCCTCCAAATCTTGTTGAATTATCTTTCACGGTAGAAGGGGGAGACACTTGCTTGGGGTTTTATGGTAGTGGAAGTCTTACTGCATGCTCTGTATGGTCTGGGCGCCCTTGAAGAGAGGCATATCAACTACTAGTGCTCAGCAGTAGTAGATACACCTATGGTAATTTCAACATAGCTGCTTTTTAAGTGTTTGCACATGTTAAAAGGTAAGGATGCATGACCTTAGCTAATAGCCAATTTTTTTTCTTTTGCAGGGTACACAGGCTAATGGACCAGGCAGCTTAGGCCCTCCGCCAGGTGCTGGCTATGGTGCTCCACCCGGTGCTTCAATGCCTCCTGGCCATCCCACGATGACGGCACCACCACCACCGCCGCAACAGCAGCAGCAGCAACGGAAACTTGACCCTGATCAGATGCCGAGTCCAGTGAGTGCGCAACTTTAAAAAGATCCCTCTACCTACTGGCTTGGTTGCTGCCTATGTTTAGCATTCATTAGTTGAGTGCCACAGTGGTCGTGTATTAGCAAGGTTTTGCCTTGGGTGGTGCAAACCAGTGTCGCATCGTGGTGGCGTAGGGTGTCGATGTGCTCTGGTGTAGTTTGGGGGGGGGGGGGGGGCAGTGCCATTGTGCTCGAGGGGGCAAGTGCCCCTTTTGCACTCTCCTGCTGATGCCCATGATAGTAATTACCACTGTTTCAGGAAATTGCATCTTTCTGGTAAGTCATGTTCTGCAGGGGAGTTGATTGGTGGGGCTAGTTGGTATAGACTCGTTATGACAACTTGGTAGCGCAAAGCTACTTTTTACTTTGTTCTGTTTGTTTGCTCTGCCAAGTTGCCATAATGAAAAGTAATCTTCTGAAGACTTGTAATAAGTGCATGCGGCATCATGGACTTGATGTACGACATGTAAACAGTGGCACATCTCGTTGAAGCAAAGAGCTTGCTATTGCAGTGTGCAGCCATTGCCTTCCCCTGCCACGGTGGTCTGGTGGCTAAGGTACTCTGCTGCTGACCGACAGGTCGCGGGATCGAATCCCGGCTGCGGCGGCTGCATTTTCAATGGAGGCGAAAATGCTGTAGGCCCGTGTGCTCAGATTTGGGTGCACGTAAAAGAACCCCAGGTGGTCTAAATTTATGGAGCCCCTTCACTACGGCATCTCCCATAATCATTGGTGGTTTTGGGATGTTAAACCCCACATATCAATCGAGAGGTACTAAGCTGTGAAAGCACCTATTTAGGTGCATATCAGCTCGCGTGTAATCCTCTGTAAAGGGTTCTCACTGCAGTTATGAGTTGGTAAGCCGTAAAAACATCTATTCAAGGAAAATCTGCACTGCCTCGAAGCCCACCTAATGGTTAACTGAACGTAGTGTGCTCGCACCAATTTATGATTTTTTAAGTTTAAGAGCTTGTTTTAATGGCTTATATGCTCTAAGTATACTAAATTTTAAAATGTAGCGTATTTTATAGCCTATCACTTTCATTCTGCCAAAAGTCAAATCCTGCTACCATTCAAAGTTATTTCCACTTCCTTTGGACCAAAAATAATGTAATTTGCACAGGCTTTGTTTTTGCACAGCTTTTAGAAAATATTGGGAAGGTTAGTTGGGTCATGACAAGGTTGACAGCTGGGCTAGTTGGTATGGTTCCATATGATCAAAATCGGTGCAAACTACAAAACAAGAAGTAGACATTTACAATACTTTGTAAGGTTTGAAACTACTGCTTCGCTTGTAGTTTGTGTTGGAATAAATAATATGGGCCATGACAAGTATGCCTTTCTTTAAATTATATGTGATATATGCTATTTGAATTTGATTCAAATTTAGACAACCGAAATCACTACATACACTTTAACCTCATTAAAACAGAGTTGTATCTTACAAAAAAATAGGTTCGTTATATCCGACTATTTATTATAAAGGTCATTCCTAACACTGTATTTATTGCAAGACTAGTTTTTGTTTACTTTGTTATAACCAATGTTTCGTTATATTCGTGTTTGTTATATTGAGGTGTGAGTGTATTTGCTTTGAATGCACTTTGAACCTTAAAATTCTCACAAGCCAGTGATGTGAAATATTGTCTTATGCCAGTTTAATGCTTGTTGACCATTTTGTGGCCGATTAGCTAAGTATCTAAAGATGCCATTCGTACATTCCATTGAAATTGTGTACAGGCATCCTTCTATACTTAATTTCTGAGTTGTTTTTAGGTTTAGATGTAATGCTTCGTGAACCACCTTCAATGAGAATGATATTTTAATTAGGATTGTGTAAATGTATGAAATTTGTGATACAAATTGAATGAGTCATGCTATTCATTTTTTTTAATCTATAAAAAATGCATCATTAATTAGAGTCTTGAGGGTTAGAAAAATGGTAGAAGTGAAGGCTCTTCTAAAGGATTCCCCTTCTAGATAATATTATTATAGTACATATTCTGGCATTCATTAATCTGTACACATGAATGTATGATGTAATAGCATGTATGTATGCCAATGTATTCAAGCTCAAGGTCTTGGTAGATCCAACAGAATTCATGTAAGCTTCATACTTGCTACTTCAGAAATGTAAAAATATAGTAGTTTTTTTTTTAATAGAACCTCAACAGACTAAGGAGGGGGTTCAGTTTATCAGGAGTTGCACTTACTGAGACACTAAGCTTAAGAGTAGACAAGGTGCTCCTGTTAGAGAGGCAGATACTTTACTGGCAACATCAGATAGTGCCTGCTACATAATCGCAAGAAACTGTGAAATGTAGTTAGTATATGTACTTAGTTTGCACATCGTTGCTGACAATCTAGCACGATAAATAGTTATTAGCCATGAGACTAAACACTGATTCGGGCTTCTTGTTTATTGTCAGTAGCATTCTTCCATTGTCGAGCACTATTCTCAAAAGTGTGCCATGTCAGAATAATAAAATGCCAATAATATATATTCCTGTTAAAACATAATTGCTGTGGCCAGGAATTGAAGCAGTGGCCTCAAAGCCTGCTAGTAGTTTCTGATGAAAAGGATGGTGTAACTAAACGTTACACCATCCTTTTCATTGTGCTCTAAATCTTTTGTGGCACATATACTTGAACGCGATTGATAAGTGGGTATGTGCCACACTTGACTGTGGGATAGTGTTTCACAATACCTGTTACAGGCATATGCCTATTCATGTCATGACCTGTTAGCCATGTTTATCATACTCTCATACCTTTTCTTGCAAAGGAGACATCCATGAGTGCACCCAGATGTAAGCAGCTAAATGGGTGGAAATAGTTGAAGTGCCTTTAGTTCTCTGTGAAATGCTTTTAAAGCTAGTCAGTTTGTGCACCGCTTTGTAAATTTTGATATAAGCCCTTTATTTGAAGGAGGAGCCTTGCGATGGATTTAATAGACAGTTCTGAAAGGTTTCACTGCTCAGTCATTTCTTTCAAATGCCTGTCGTATTTACAAATTTTGTGCGATGTTTTATCTCCAAATAAATGTAGTGTAGGTTATTTCTGCAAAGCTGAGTGCTGTCCTCTTTGTTTTTGTTTTATTTATTTACTGTACCTTATAATACCCGTGCCCCGCCACGGTGGTCTAGTGACTAAGGTTCTGGGCTGCTGACCCGCAGGTGGTGGGATCGAATCCCGGCTGCGGCTGCTGCATGTCTGGTGGAGGTGGAAATGTTGTAGGCCCGTGTGCTCAGATTTGGGTGCACGTTAAAGAACCCCAGGTGGCCGAAATTTTCGGAGCCCTCCACTGTGGTGTCCCTCATAATCTTATGGTGGTTTTGGGACGTTAAACCCTACAAATCAATCAATCATAATACCTGTGCCACACGGGTACAGGAAATGACATTCGGTAGTGAAGGCATTCAGTTCTCGAATGACATTTTTTTTGGGCGGAGTTGCTACACCTTTAAAATGAATGACATCTGACTCAGATGATGTCGATCACACCATCTTCTGTAGTAAGCAATTGTGGAGTAGTAATAGAAAAATAAACGTGCATTTACAAGCTACATATGTCTCCAAGAAGAATTAAATGTTGAAATAGGCATATTACGCTGCTGTTGGATTTCGTTTGTTACGTTTCACGATGTTGCAACCGACTGTGGAGCAACTTAAGTCAAAGCTAGTCAGATCCGCAGCATAAAAAGAAAATGGTGCCTGTCCCATTTATTTACAGTGTCTGCCAGTTGAAGATGAGTTTTCAAGCACTTGTTTAAGTGATTAGTATAAATAAAATGCCCAAGAAGTTTCCTTCCAGTCAAATTAAATGTTGTTTTATATAATTACTTGATCAGCTGTGCCGTCGAGAGTACGCATTTCTCAGTCGAATGAGTTCTGGCGGCGGTATTAGGTGACGAATGACATTTGGGCGAATGCCATTTCGTTCATTCGTGTCGCACCGGGCGAATGACATTCAATCTGAAGGCATGAGGAAGTAAATGCTATTTTCTCTATCCGTGTGACACGGGTATAAAAGTTATATGATTCACTAACGTGGAATCAGATTTGTTATACAACAGGCGATATGTCTTAAAGTGCTTCTGAAGTATTTGGAGGTACAACATATACAGATAGTGTGTCAGGGTAATTTGTGCTATTTGCTATTTGTTCCAGATCCAAGTGATACAAGATGATCGCCACACCCACGGTGGTCCCTTCTACACAAATAAGAGGGGCCAGGTTCCACCACTGGTCACAACTGACTTTGTTGTGCATGATGAAGGTAGGTTTTGGTTGTATATATATTTTATTTTTGCTGTTTTCATGGAACTTCTAAACTACAGGCATAATTGTGCCCTTTTAATTTCATCAGCACATTTTTATTTTATTAAGACTACCTGACAAGAGGTGCATTTTATAGTAAATGCATCTGTAATGCATATGCTCGTAACTTGAAAATTTTGTTGACATGAGTGTTTAAAGCCTTGTCATCAGTGTGCACAGCTGCCTGAATTCAAAGTACTGCTTATTAGATTATAAGTAGCTTTTTGTTCTATGGCCTCTTGTGACATGATTGTTCTATAATTCAAGCTACAGTGTAGTTTTTTCATGTTTAATAAACCAAAATACTGGTAGAATTTACTCCTGAGCTATGGTATGTTAATCTAATATGGCTACTGCTTCTCTGTGCAGGCATCTGCAGCCCTCGATTTATTCGTTCTACCATCTATAGTGTGCCGTGCACACCAGAGATGCTGAGACAAACAGCTCTTCCGTTTGCCTTGTGCATCAGCCCTTTTGCACGCCAAGCTCCTGGTGAGGTGAGCTGTTGGGCCTTGTGGTGATTATCTTTGACAGATCAGAATCGTCATGCGAAGAGAATGAATCGTTCTTACAGCTGTCACAGAGTCTAAATAGCTCTTCATAGCACTGTTCTGGTTGTAAAGAAAACCTTGAATGAATGTTTGGAACAAGACCCCATAGGTCTATTATATTATTTAAACCTAAATCTTCTAAGTTTACCTATACTTTTATTTCCAGTTTTAATCAAAGCATATTTATTGCATCTTTGTTCTTTATTTTTAGCAGTACATACTCCTTCTGCTGTCAAATTATAGCATGTTGTTCAGCTTTGGCTGGTAAATTACTGTCTAGTACTCATAAATGTAAAACATTTCACTGTCCTCTATCAACACAGCCTTGTATGGATCTGCCTGAGCAGTACATGTCAATCTCTGCAGAGTGCCCTGCCACTGAGTGATTTTGGGGAAGAAGGTCCTGTGCGGTGCAATCGGTGCAAGGCCTACATGTGTCCGCTGATGCAGTTCATAGATGGTGGACGCCGTTTTCAGTGTGTCTTCTGCAAAGCTACCACTGAGGGTAAGAATGTCCAAGCTCGCTAATCACTGCCTCTTTGTGTAAGCCTTAATTTGAGATCTAGTGTAAAAGCTTCTTTCTTTGATATGCAGTCAAGCCTGTTTATAATGAACTAAAAAGTGCTACGAGAAGTGGTTATTATATCAGTAGTGCGTCGTGTACGAGTCTAAAAGAGAGTACTTGCCCCGCCACGGTGGTCTAGTGGCTAAGGTACTCGGCTGCTGACCCGCAAGTCACGGGATCAAATCCCGGCTGTGGCGGCTGCATTTCGGATGGAGGCGGAAGTGTTGTAGGCCCGTGTACTCAAATTTGGGTGCACGTTAAAGAACCCCAGGTGGCCGAAATTTCTGGAGCCTTTCTCTACGGCATCTCTCATAATCATATGATGGTTTTGGGACGTTTAAACCCCACAAATCAATCAATCAAAGCGAGTACATATCGCAGCCCTGCAGTGTTTTTTTATGTGCATTTTTTATTGCAGTGCTAACAACCCCTTCGGTGACAAGTTGAGCACTCTCTCATTTTGAAGCGACAACCGCTGCATGCTCAAAAGTGCATTAAAACTGCTTTTGCAATCAACTGATACCGCTTTTTAAAGTGCGGCACCACCGCGTGAAAGCAATTGTTCCTGGCTAGTTGCGTGCAGCACGCCGCCTACTCTGCTCACCTAGTCATTGCAGAGGTGCTTGCTGTATACCATTCGTCGTGCCTGCTTCACTCTGGAACATGCACGAGTGTGCTGTGTAGCTTGGTCATTCAACATGGCAAAGACATACATTTTGGAAGGAACGTGAGCTCAACGTCTCCGCAGTGCTCTAGCGGTCCTGCACGACAAGCCATGGTGCATTTGGAATGTTGCCATATATAACACATGCAGTCTGTGCTTGCTGCCAATGCGTCAACACTAGAGACCGGATTATAGGCAAATGCCTATTTTGTTTCTTGCGTTCCTATCTTGCCATTTTGACATATGAGCACGAATTAGAGGGTAAGAAGAGCTTTCATAGTTCTTATAGTGCCTATAAATGCCTATTTTGGACATTGCTGCCTTAATTCCTATGTCTATAAATGCCCGTTTTCGAAATCGGTGCCTATATATATATATATATATATATATATATATAACCTAAAATTTTACTCTCAAGTACCGCTGGAGTCTGGTATTCCCGTTGACTGGCAAAATTGAGCATTCGGAACACTATGGGGTGCAACCACTACTCTATCTCACAAAGCCTACAAGGCCTTTCAGTCAATAGGAAGGTCGATATAGCCTCTACACATGTATTTATCCGCCTTGCATCGTCCACTCGGCATATCTCCGGGGTGTGCTCGCTTGCGTAGGGAGCAGGAGGTGCTTCTGTACAGGGGCAGGATGATGAAGAATGAATGTGAAACAGTGGAGTGTCATCAGGGAAAAGTAGAGTAGGTAAAAAAATGATACTCATGTGGTTTTTGTTTTACTTGTCATTTACTTCCTAAATGATTTCTATTAGGTCACATGAGAAATTTTACTTAGACAGTAAAAGTTGTTATACGCCCAATGAAAAGCTTTGTATCACTAGAATTTTTTAATTGGGTCAATACATGCTGCATAAACATGACGTGAGGAGGTGAGCTTGAAACCTTCACCACTCACTCGATGTAGACTTCGCAAGTCAAGTTCCTTCCCTGCCCCATTTGGTATCAGAGCGACACGGAGCAGGAGGATAACACGACGTAGATGCATCTGCACGTCATGCGGGCGTTAGATACATTCGCATAACATGCCTGTGTCAGGCCATGCAAGGGGTGTTCTGTTGTTTTGATGTTTTCAGTATTCTACTGCCCGTTTCTGTGGGATGGATTCCTCTATGCGCCCACGTTTGAAAAGGCTGCCATGGATCGCGTATCTTTACCATGATACACAGCATCACACTGCTGGAACTCTTCTAAGGAACGATGTACCGAAAACATGCAAAGCGTTGTGAATGCTGGCACTGGCAGAATACGAGAATGGCGAGAACACCAATGCAAACGAAATGGAGGCAGCTTAGTCTCGCATCTCGCTCAATATGAAGTTGTAAGAATAACGCACATGGATTTTGTCTGTATGTTTTAATATTTCAGTCAATCTTCCCACTTCTATTCAGGCAACAGATTGCACAAATTACACTCGTCGTCTCGAATAGTTTTTGCAGAGTCACGTACTACTTTGACATACGCAGGACCATTCCTTGTGTATACATCACCTCCACCATGTTGGGGTGCACACCCGTGAGATGAAGTTCAAGCGGTGTTCAGTCTGACATTTCATTTCATTAATGTGCGTGTAGCACAGCAAATCTTGGCAGATGAGATCGTGAGCGCCCAGTGCATGCATTCCTTTTGGCTTCTCAGAATTCTCAAACCTGCGTAAGGGCTCTTTGAGTTGTTCAGAGACAGAAGAAAAATTGAGCCTGTGCGGTTAGACCAAGTTAATACTAAGCAAACAACACTTCTGGCCTATTGCACTCTGGCTATTTGCACCTGTGTAGCCCTTCTCAGCGATGCTGAAAAGAGAAAAACGCAGACGCATGTTTATTTGACAGTGGACACCTAACTCACCATGCTGGACTAGAAATGGAGAGACCGTACTCCGCGAACCCTGCGGTGTAATAAATGCATGGCTATGCTAAACCATTAGCACCTCTGTACCATTATGTATAAACTAAAGCATTTCTGTTTGGTTGTATTTATTCGAAAATTAAAATTTTGTCGAAGTTTATTGTGCCTATATTTATGATTCTGGGAGCCGAAAACAGTGTTTTGCCCACCTACTTTTGGTGCCTAAAACCCGGTTGTTTAGTGCCTGTAAATCTGGCCTCTAATCAACACCTCTCTGGGCTCTTGCTGTTCAGCACCAATGTGCTACTTTCTTTCTACAGAGTTACCTGTACTTTAAAGCGATCTCACACCATGCAGTCGCGGTGGAGAACTTGCAAATTGCAGCATGGCACCTTGTACCTCCGTCAGTCCACACAGTTTACACCATAAGTGCAGCTGAGCAGACAGCTGCATTTAACTACAATAAGGTGTTGTCAATGATCAGTCGTCATGGTACTTTCCTTGGCGGCTGCCACCTTTCCTTTGCTCTTTTTAGGTGTTTTGCTATCACACAGAAGTTGGAATCATTTATTGGTCTCTGTCATTACTGAAAATACAGACTACTTTTCGCCAGCGCATTGTGGCGTAGACGAATTGAAGGGTGCAGTGGCCTCTCAAAACTTATCACAGTTATTGCTTGTTGCATTTATGGTTTCTAGTGTTACACAGAATTCTTTGGCTTACCGTAGGCAGTCATAGCTGCAGAGAACAGAGCCGTAAAATGTTGCGTTGCAAAAGCTGACAGCAAAGCCTCATGCCGCCTTCTATTTCTTTTTCTTTTCTTTTTCTCACTGCAATTCCATCACTGAGAAAATGCCTGAAAAGTGGGCAGGTTGTTTAGTAATGATCACAACTAGGGCTGCAGAAGTTGAGTCTTTCCTCTCCTCATCCTCTCCTCCTCCTCAGTGAGCGATGTACCTTGCTCGCAGCATAGAAAATCTGTGTGTGCTGCTTGCCATTCCATGATATCTTTGTCGCAAGTAAACTTGAGTGGGGCACACGCCAATGTGCACCTCTCTCACTTTAGAAGGCCTGATCCAACTTTGTTTTCCACTTCATATATGCCACATTTCTATCGCGACCATGTCTGAAGTGTTTGTTGTAAAACTAGGAGGCTTTGAAAAATGTTTGCTGTACGTGGATGCTTTTTCAATGGGTAGCGTAAGAAAATTCCAATTGCACCGAAGTATGGTCGTTATACGCAATGGATTATCATATCTGGGATTGTTATAAATGGGTTTGACTGTATGGTTTGTTAAAGTATGGTCGTTATACGCAATGGATTATCATATCTGGGATTGTTATAAAGGGGTTTGACTGTATGGTTTGTTATTATTTTCTGGTGAGGTGGTGGTGATATTGATGTTGAACACAATTAACGCAGGAGAATAGTAGCTTCAAAAGCATAATTAGCTTTCTATATTTCAAAGCTTGGAATTACTTATTAACGCCCCGCCGCGGTGGTCTAGTGGCTAAGGTACTTGGCTGCTGACCAGCAGGTCACGGGATCGAATCCCGGCTGCGGCGGCTGCATTTCCCATGGAGGCAGAAATGTTGTAGGTCTGTGTGCTCAGATTTAGGTGTACGTTAAAGAACCCCAGGTAGTCGAAATTTCCGGAGCCCTCCACTACGGCATCTCTCATAATCATGTGGTGGTTTTGAGATGTTAAACCTCGCATATCAATCAATCGAATTACTTATTAACACAATTTTAACATTTCAGCTTAGGACAAATGAAATGAGGCTGGATTTAGGTATGTGGCTTGATTGATGTTCATTTAAAATTGGAGCTGAGCACATTAGAAAACAAATATGTAACAGCAAATCCTTAATCGTTTGTTCTGGACAAATGTAACTTACTCTTTGATAAACACTCCTTGAAGGAACACTATTGCACTATCGGCGTCAAATGAAACTTGAACAGTGGCAAGCATTTGCAGTGGTATTGCGCATGCTGTTATCACCATTGGCAGGTACATGCACCCAGTTTGGCAGCAGCGTGCATATGCGTGCATGTCTCTGGTGATAACTGGAAGGTGCACTATATATCATTGCAAATGCTTTCCGCTGTTCGGTTCTCGTTCGACGCTGATAGTACATATGCATTAATCTAGCTTATGCATTTGTTCCACTCTCTTTCCTGAAACCAAGCAAAGTACTTGAGAAATTAAGTTTAATAATTAAGGCATATCCCATATTATAAATTACTTCTGATTTTCTGGTAAGCTTCAGATGCATAATAAATGGGAAGGTAAAGTGGAAGAGCAGAGCCTGCCACTGGCTGAGTCCAAACCTGTGGCAATCTCTGCCTAGCACCTAGAGTATTTTATCAATTGGTTTATGTTGCTGTCTGTCCCTCTGTCCACTTTCTTGAATATTTG